ATCCAGAATCCAGTATTGTACATCACGTGCAATTAAATGCTCAAAGAATCCTTTTTAATGACGAGGGAAATAAGTGGATTTTCTTCTTCCAGCTGTTACCATCTTGTCCAAAGCTGATTGGCTGACATCTAGATTCAGCTCACAGATGCCTCTCTGACCTCTGTGTTGCATTTAATGCTCCCAAAGATCTTGCATCACTGAATATTTGCATAACTTAATAATTCCATAAGAATAAGTATAAAAAAGGGGGTTGCATTCTTGCAATGCAAAAGTACACCTCTATCCCTGTTTAGGGGTGCATAGTCACTGGGAAGCATCTTGTGTTCTGATGATCGGCACTTCCCTGGTTTCATTGCCTGATGACTTTTTAGAACCTATCCTACACCCTGGTTAAACATAATTTTGTTTTCTTAGTGTCATCTCGAACATGTCCTCGTGTAAATGCTCCCAAACTAAAACAGCTTGGAGTATCACAGCAGTGGTTTGGCCTTATTTTCTTTGTTTTACCATTTCTAATTTATTTTCTAAACTTATTGGATTTTAGGCATGTTTTTCAGCACTATAATTACTAAATGCCTGGATAACTTTGTTACTAGACAATGTTTTAAAAACAGTGTTAGATTATAACAATGGTAAATGTTAAAATAGCAGCCAAGAGAAGCCATAATTCATTTGAAGAAATTTTGTGTTCAAATTTTAGGTCATGGACAAAGGATTGCATTGCTTTTCTGCTTCACCAGCGCAAGTGTCTCCCCCACATCACAGCAATATAACCAGAGTGTATGATTCACTCCACCTGCTGGTTTTTAAATGATGTGATTCCTCTTGAAAAGGTAAAATTTAGGGAGATTCACGTGGTTTCAAAATGTGTGCCTGCATTGTGACTTTATATCATGCAATTTCAAATTTACACCAGTAAAACTTGCATACAATGCAACCTTTTTCAGGAGGACAATTTGGCACTGACCATCCAAATCTAATATTTTAGTACATAATGCTTTCATTTAAAAATTCCACTGGTAAGAATTTAGCCTAAAGGTATTGTGATAAGGGCATTTATAAATACAGGGTGATATGATATATAAATTCAGAGTGAGGTGATATATTCTATCTCCCTGAATTATTTGCTGTGGTGTGTTGGATGGAGGAAAAAGGAGCACCTTGTATGTAAACATGTTACCTTAAACCTGTAAATACATTTACAAGTCCACTAGGCTCTCACACCCAAAGATAAGCCAAGCTTGCCTGGCTTATCCTGCCAGCCACCAAACACTGGAAAACAAAGGCATTGGTCTCGCTGAGTCTCTCTGGAGTGTACTGGACCACTTCCTGTATTCCCCCAGGTCACTGTGAGCCCCTTGCACTGCTTAACCCATAACCAAAGGTTTGCCTTGATGCATCAGTACGGAGCAAACAGTGGCTAAAGGCCAAAAAAGACTAATCAAATCCTGTGAATAAGGCAGCCCAGAGCTTTCATTAGCTCATTGTTGCTTATTTGATCAATTCACTAATTGCTTACTAACTTATTGAATGAGAATAAATGTGTGTATGGCAATAAACAAGTGACTCACAATTTTACTGGTTGTCTCTTATTTGAACTGGCTCTTTGCTGCAACCCAAGGGAAAAAATCTAAATTAAAGAGCACTCTCACGTACAATAATTGTCATTTGGTTTAAATAGAACAGATGCATTCACAAAAGTTCACCAAGTATGTTTACGGCAGTACTTTTTGCAATGCAAAGTGTCAATCAATCAGGACTGTTTATGTAATTTTTATGTCCATATCATTGACATAAATAATCAACAAACAATTTATAGACTAGAAAGATAAGGTGATATTTACCTGAGCCAAGCTGAGGACTAGCCTGGAAGTGCAGTTTCCACTGGGGAAGAGGGTACTCTGTAGAAGCATGATTTACAGCATGGTTATATACCATTTCAGAGCAAAGAACATTCCTGATAGGAATACAATTTTGTTTTTCTCAAAGTCATAAGGAGAGGTTTTGCTGCAATTTAGCAGATACACAGTAGGTCAACTTGACCTTGGTTTTCTTGAAAGAAAAACTTATCTTCAAAGAGGTACAGGCATTGGTATCAGAGGAAGGGAACCATTCACCTCCATCTTTAAAGAGCACATCTTTTGCTTTGGGTAAATGAAGCAGATGTACAATGCATGTTTGGTGGGCCATAAGTCATGCTGCTCTGGGAAGAAACAAGTTTTAGGCCAAATCAGGTTTAACCCAGAATGGCTTCCCCATACACCTCAATATGTGAAAACTTCTAATTATTCTTATTATTTTCATCAACATAATGTAATAAA